GAGTTCTGATTTTGGCTCATATATCCGTAACGGGTCCTCCAGAGCAATTTTCCACCTTGTACGATGGTTATTATTTCTTTATATCTATGTTTAAAATTTGAGGTGGGATAATGGCGGCTTCTCCAGAACACCGAGGTAGGCGATCTTTTGCACCAACGAACAGAAAACTGATGGCGAAAAATAACCAATCGGAACCTCCCAAAAAAAAAGAATTTGCCTTAAATCGGAACTTCGTGGTTCTGCGCAGATTTACCAGTCAGAAACGACATCTCAAGGTGGAAAAAAACTCGCTGAAAGCGAATTTTATAAATCAACACAACTTGACGTAGAGACATGATTGGCTAAAAAATACAACGGTTTTTGATACATCAGAAAATCAACCAAAAATCGAAGACTGGGCGAAACGCTCAAGGTCGCAGAGGCATAGGGAATCCCATAGCGATAGCAACGGAACGATTGTAATATCATGGGGAACTCCGTTCCCATGACAAAAATGCTCAGTTTTGATTGATTATCGTGTATAGTGTCATAATATGTATAATGTAAAAAACAGAATACCTACACGCTTTTCCTCATCGTTTTTAGTTTTTTATTTATTGTTTCGTTTTTTTTTTATTTCTTCATTTGAGCATAAAAATGTTTGCAAGAAACAAATTATCATGCCAAAAAAATCACAAAATGTTCTATTAGATAAGTTGTTTTCTTCTTCTTTGTTAAATCTTGTATCGTGAAAGTATCTTTATCAATTTTGAAATTTAGGAAATACTGCCTTTGACTTAGTAGAAGAACATGCTTTTATTTCTTAACAGAACATAGAAGGTACCTACTGAATATTCCTCTGTTTTAAGGCTAGATATTAATTCATGGCTATGAAATATGAACAAAACCTGCTATGTTTGCCGACTTTCTTACACTCTGCCGGCACAGATGGATTTTGGCAGTTGAACTGTAAATGTTCCGGTAACTGCACAAATTTTGAAAACATCTTCCTGCACCACCTGTTGCTACGTTGCCAAGCATTGTTTGATGAAAAGCTGTTCAATTTCATACAAGGATCTTTACCATCTGCCTTCAGCAGCGATTGTACTAGTGCATCCACATCTTTCGACAGACGAAACTGAAATAATTATAAACAGTAAATTGAAAAAAAACAAAATAAGACCAAAAATATAACAAATGAATAAAAATAATATGCAGAATAAAAAATGACAAAGTAGAAATTACAAAATGAAAAATCCAGCATGAAAAAAAGAAGGTGCAAATGAAAAAAATGAAACATGAAATAGTATTTAAATAAGAAAAATGAAATACCTTCCAAGTTTGAATGAGTCATCGGACAAGGTCTGATCCAGAAAAAAACGTCTCAAGTTCTATCTTTATAATCTCACGTAGAAAGCAAACTACACAGCGAGGAGCTTGGATTTCAACTCCTAGCCAGGATATTATCACCTATTTCTAACACCAATGGGTCAGTTGCGCTGGTCACAGAATATTGTTATGATGATTGATTCTAGTAGATCAGCTAAAAATAATAAGGTCCGTCCGAACAGCAACTTTCAACTTTTAATATTAATCGAGATATCGCGCTTTGAAAAATTCGGTTTATGTCGTAATCCACCGCGGTAGTGACATCCTTGGTTTCTTCCACCTTGCTTTTATCAGTCTAGAAGACAAACATTTACACTGGTTACTCAACATAAAACTCGGTTGAAAGCAAGATGGAAGAAACCAAGGGTGCTACTACCGCGGTCGACAAACCGAATGTTTCGAAGCTCGATATCTTGGTTAATATTGAACGTAGAAAGTTGCTTTTTGGTGGGATCTTATTATTTTTAGCTGATCTATAGGAATCACGCATCAAAAAACGATTCTGTGACCAGCTCAACTGACCTACCAGATGGAATAACCTTCATAAACATAACATCGAAAACGTCATAAACCCAATGTTTCAAAGCGCAATATCTTGCTTAATATTGAACGTAGAAAGTTGCTGTTTGGACGGATCTTATTATTTTTAGCTGATCCGTAGGAATCAAACATCGAAACACGATTCTGTTACCAGCGCAACTGACTCATTAAATGGAAGTTAGAATAAATAAATTATTTCATTTTACTCGTACTTTTGTCATGCATCATGTATTAATAAGAAACAACATTATCTTATTTAAGAGCTGATGCTGATTGCTTGACTACCAATATTGTGTGATACGTTTTCCCGGTGAAATTTCGAAGAGAAAACATGGTGCGTTTAGATCTGATAAAATTCATACCCCGTCTAGAGGCTAATAGTAAATTGGACGACATTTTGGAACAAGGAACCATTATTTCTGGTTCATCCATAAAACCACCTATTTGCATAGGGAATCTAATGACACAAGTGTTGTTTCTTAAAGAAGCAATAAATATTAGTTCCTTATTGAAAAATGTAGTCCAATTCTGAATTGGACTAAGAGAAGAGTCAAATCCGCACGAATGCACGGATGGTGGAAGAATAGAACGCAGCTGCATTATTTTTATAATTTTTTTTTGCATAGTAATTTATGGAATTGTAATTTTTCAACCAAAAATGTTAATTCTTAAATATTCGACTAACAGTATCAAGTTTACACAGTGAAGAGTATAATGAACAAAAAGAAGAGTAAAATTCTGACCAATTTTCCCAGAGAAATTGATCGTGCTGTACTTATTAAAACCAAGGCAATCATCACAAACGTATTTGGCCAAAAATTACTCATATCACTGAGAAAATAAACTGGGAGAGAGGCAGTACACACGAAATAAACGAAACATACACTTTGCAGCCACCAAACAATTACACTTCTTCAGCTAGAACCTAAAAGATTGTGAAGATTCAAGGAACTGTGGAAACGCTTCTCGTGATAGCCTGACCTTTGGGTGACTAATGCATCTGAGCAAACAATCAATAACAGTTTTTATCTTCTTACCTCCGTTATTAGAAGGAATCTGTGTAACACGCACCAACCAGTGACTTTTTTACCTACATTTTGACGACAGAGATCGAATAGGAGTTTTTCACCCAGGCAAACCTCGCTATTCAGAATTCGGCATCGATAGCATAGAGTAATGCAGCTCGACTTTGCGCAAAAAAAGGGTGAAAAAACCTCAGAGCTAGCACGTCAAACCGTGCATGACGCTTGAATGACTCATCGGCTCTGCAGATTCCACGAAAAATCTGGACGTCATGAGGATAAACCTAACAAAAGGGGATCTGCGGGTGAAGATATTTACCAATCATTAGTAATAGAGAAGAAGAGGTAGAATATAATGTATACAGTAATCATTAGTAATAGAGAAGAAGAGATAGAATAATATAGTTAATAATATTTAAGTGCTGTGCGTACTAATAAAAGCGTACTACGTTGTGAAGCTGCGCAGTCTGTGTCTTTGAGATGCAACACCTTAAATTTCAAGTTTTGAGGTACCGTAATTCATAATCGCTCCTTAAACAGAACCTTTCCTTAAAAAGGCCCCAAATGGTGATCAGAAGTTAAAAGGCGACTTTATAACCTAATTTTATGAAAAGACAATTTTCCCGAAACTAGAGTTAGATTAAAGCGTCTATCTTTAGAAGTAGATTTTCACAAGGGAATGAAAAGATTCGCCACTGTATGCTACTTCCAGAATTTTTACAAACTTAATTAATAAGACTATAATATTTGAAAAATCCCAAATGGTTTTCTTTCCTTGCACCTTGAGATTTTTTAGTTACAAATCATCCTGATACCTTGCAAGGATCTATTTCTAAGGTTATACTCTCAAATTTTTCTCCAAATGCGGCAAAATTGTCTTCTCCGTGAAGTTAAAGGCTTCTTCAACCTTCTCTTAATCACAATGCAAGTAATGTGGGACCTTCAAAATTAAATAAAAAAGTCACGGGTCGAATAATCCGTCGTTTAATATTCAACTATTGTTAAATGCGATAGAAAATGAACACATTCCATTAAAACGCCTGGATGCAACTATTCGGGCTCCATGGATGTCTGTGTTGCATGCGCTCGGAATTGAAGGCGTGTGAACCGTTTCGTTTTAAGGCCAGTAGGAAACGTAGCCGAAGGTTTACCACGATTTTGCGAGGAATCGATTAATTTGCCGTTTGAACCTATGGCAAAGGATCAATTATCGCAAAGAACACCTTAATAATCGATTCTCAATCACAGCTTTGAATGGGGAAATATAGATAGTCGATAATTCACCCTTAACCACTGAAAACAGTTGTTGAATAAGCGACCGAAGATCGTATTCAATACATCAAATGGGCATTCTATCGATGCGATATGTTAATATCGATTGGTTCAAAACAATAATAATAACCTCAAAAGACAATTGAGTAATTTGAGCGAACGAGTTTCCTGTGGTAGATTTTGGATTCTAATTGGTATAAAATGGCAAAGAAAAGTGAAGTTGTTAGGAGTTTTCTCATTTTCAACTTTTCTCACTTAAATCCTAAAATTTTTGTTTGAGGTTATGTTCTATTGTTTTAAACCAAACTATACATAGAACCGCTATCGAATACGATCTCATGTGAAGTCCAAATTGCGCGTCTCAGGATAGGTCACACTTTTTTCACTCACAATCATATCATCTCCAAAGAAAATCAACCCATCTGCCACTTCTGTAATTTATCACCTCTAACCATCAAACACGTACTTATGGACTCCTCTGCTCTTAGGTATCTCCAATCACAGATCTACTCCCCTACAATCAACAGAAATACAAACCCACTTACATGCGATGAACCCAATATTACTACCAAAATTCTGAAACTTCACCTCTCTTAATTTAAAAATCTAAATTTTCGTGTATACTCCCATTTTCAAAATTCTCTGTAAAAACGTTAATAGCCTGTGACGCTGAATGCCTCGAAATGTACTGACTAACTAACTAACTATTAATCGACGTGGGGTGTTTATGGAATTATTAAGCGCTCAGCCGATAGGCAGCGCTTTTTGATTTCGACTTGCCTCTGAGTAGGTACTAGTATACTAGTGCTAATGCGTTTAAATGGCGCACCAGCTCATCGATGTGTAGGCTTTTGGGGGGGGGTCCATTTTTAAAATAAATAAAGCTGTGAAAACTGTATTTTATGCTTTTAACGTAATGCGCAGGTACTTTCGATCGTTTGTCTATAAGAAAATTTCTTAGCGGTAGAGTAATTCTTATCGAAATTGATCGCAAATGAAGCCTAAAAAAAACGCGCCTGATTAGCTCAACGGTGAGCTCATTTTCGGGGAACAAAAATACGCGTTTACGGTTTCCTTGGTAACCTTTGTTTGCTATCAGCTGATGTTTTATTTCCATTTCCCAGCCAAGTCGACGGAGTTTATACGTCCTTTCTTCATTAAATACATTTACTAACCCCTGAGCGCTTTTCTAATACGACAGTATTAGAACTTTCCCGCTTGTTCCTTCTGCTTTTATTGTCGTTACCAAACCTAGAGACCGGTAATTCTGATTTTTTTTCTTTTTGTTCCGCCCACGATCATAAAATCCCCGAGCCCGGCAACCGTGCTAAGTGCATTCAACAATAAGCACTCGACGAAAAAATTCCAAACGCGAAACAGGAGCAAAAACATCCGGGGAAGGAGGAAAAATTCCCTCCCCCTCCCCCTCCCCTCCGGCCGGAGCGAGGGCGGGGGGGAGGGGGTGGGAAGCCCCCGTTTCGTTTGAGGGAGCACGGAGAGAACTCCAGCAAACCGGGAAATGGACGCGAAACGTATGTTTGCGTTTAATAATTCCGTCTGGAGGCTTTTGCATTGCTTTTTCTGCATTAGCGCGCAGCGGCCCCCCGCGCCCCGCTGCCGCGCCGCCGCGCCGAGCCCTGAGTGCCCATCTCTACGGGAGGGAAACTAATTTTAGAAGGAAGCCGCTGAAAATAAAATCCTGGAACACGAACACACGCTACCGCTACCGCCGCCCCCCCCCTCCCCCGGTATCCTGGTCCTGGATCTGGCCCGCTCCTGCTGTACCGGGCCAAGTGCCTCACTTAGCGCGGCTCTATTACCGCCCCCCTTTGTGCGGCCGGCGGCCTTCACTTATGAACTTCCAACTCGGCACATTCACCGCCGGGCCGCACAGGGTCCTCGCTTGTCACTCCACCGACCTTTGAGGATGCTTCTATTTTTCACCCTAAAAAAATAAAAATGAAAAAAAAAAATTTAAAAAAAAATTTAAAAAAAAACTCGCAGAGAACATGTGTCCATGCGCACATTTTTTTACTATAATTTGGTCAAAATTTTCAATTCTTAAAGCTTCCTTGCACGGAGCAAAAAACTTCGTGCGTGGGACCCAAAGTTTAGGTCATATGGATCTCTGAAGTTTTCGGATTGAGCATCCGAACACTTAAGGTCCAGCTGTTGAAGTTTGGATCACACATGTAAAACTTCAGTTCTTACATCAGAAGTACCTCGGTTCTCACATCTGAAGTGCTTCAGATGTAAGAACTGAAGTTTCAGATGTGTGATCCAAACCTCGACATCTAGACCTTAAGTGTTCAGATGCTCCATCTGAAAACTTCAGAGATCCATATGACCTAAACTTCGGGTCCCACGCACGAGGTTTTTTTCTCCGTGTGTGCGATAAATTTTAGTTTAAATATCACAACGGGCTGATTGTTGCAATTCGTTGACGAAACTCCCTTTACCTTTACCTTTTTTACCACCGACCTTTGTGGATGCTTCAATATTACAAAAAAAAATTTGTAGAAAACATGTGTCCATAAACACATTTTTCTTACTATAAAATTTGGTCAAAGTTTTCAGTTCTTAAAGCTTCCATGTGGTAAATTTTAGTTTATATATCACAGCGGGCTGATTGTTGAAATTCGTTGACGAAGCTCCCTTTACCTTTGCCTTTACCTTTTTTACCAACGACATTTGAGGATTCTTCAATTTTTCAAAAAAAAAACTTACAGAAAACATGTGTCCATACACAACTTTTTCTTACTATAAAATTTTGTCAATGTTTTCAATTCTCAAAGCCTCCGTGTGGCAAATTTTAGTTTAAATATCACAGCGGGCTGATTGTTGAAATTCGTTGACGAAGCTCCCTTTACTTTTAGCTTTTTTACCACCGACCTTTGAGGATGCTTCGATTTTTCAAAAAAAAAAAAAAAAAAACTTGCAGAAATAATGTGTCCATAGACACATTTTTCTTAGTATGAAATTTGGTCAAAGTTTTCAATCCTCAAAGCTTCCATGTAGTAAATTTTACTAAGAATATCACATCGGGCTGATTGTTGAAGTTCATTGACGATGCTATAGACAAAGAAGACAAAAGGGATATGAAGGCATCCTATTAGTGCAAAATATGGATGCAATGGACTTGTGACTCCACCAACCTTTGAGGATGCTTCGATTTTTCAAAAAAAAAACTTGTAGAAAACATGTGTCCATACACACATTTTTCATACTATAAAATTTGATCAAAGTTTTCAGTTCTTAAAGCTTCCATGTGGTAAATTTTAGTTTATATATCACAGCGGGCTGATTGTTGAAATTCGTTGAGGAAGCTGTTGCTCCTTCTGTTTCTTTTCTTATTGTAATTATTCTGTTTCTTCTTCTTCTTCTTCTTCTTCTTCTTCTTCTGGTCCTTCTTTTTCCTCTCTAACTGCCATTAGTCTACTTCTTCATCTTCTTTTTCAGAGTATTTCTTCCTTTGGTCGCACGGCCGTGCTCCGGACTCAACTGTGCGTCGACCTAGTTGGTAAAATTTAAGGGACCCACTCCAGGTGATCCCTTGGCAGGTTCCTGAAGAGAAACGAACGGTCCGGTCGCTCGTAAATTCCGCGGTTTAAGGGAATAACGCTGCCGAGAAACTCCCGACAGGATTGTGAGTCCGAGGTGGGCGCGAGCGGTTTAATTGTTGCTTTT